CCCAATAACTTTTGCCTGGGCTGGCCTTAAACTTGTGATCCTCCTGCCTCCACCTCCTGGGGAGCTGGGGTTTGCAGGTGTGCACCACCATGCTGGACTTTATCTGCCCCATTTGTCTTTATTCTCTTAACCTTATGGTTTTCTTTTAACTTTGATTTTTATGTAGTTAAATATGTTAATGTTTTCCTTTATGGTTTTATTTGTTTGCTTAGAAAGGCCTCTTCTGCCACTATGATTACAAAAATAGTTTCCTTTATTTCCTTCTAATGCTCTTATGATATATTTTTAGATATTTACATTTTTTTCACATGTTAAACCCCACGTTATCTATGAACTCTTGCTGGTCTCTGGAACTTACTTCTTTGCAATTTCATAGTCAGGGAAATCTACTGTGTCTTCTCTCTATCACTGTTCATCACTCTGCCCCATACATAAGCCCCTCTGCTCATTCCTCTGATCTAGCCCTCCCAATTCCACCACTGCTCATTCCTCACTCACATTTTCATTCCCCTAACTGTTGTTTCTTCTTCTCGACTGACCACCTGCACCACGCATCACCCACCCTCGAAACCCTTGAAGTCTTGCCACATGGTTCATTGCCAGCATCCTCAGCCTTTTCACTTCCTTCCTAACTGAAGCCCGACTCTCTCCAGCAACACCACACACCACTCCTGTCATAGCTTGCTCCGAGAGGTGGGCTTGAGACGTGGTGCTATTTCCACACCATCTATTCTCCACACTTCTCTTCCGTGGCTCATGCCTCCAGCTGTTGACTCTTGAGTCTCTCCTTGTCACAGCACTGCAGTTTCCTGGTCACTTAGTTTACCCAACACTTTGACTCCTAATGCACAGTCATCTTCTCCACCCAAGGCTGGCTATCACCCACATTATTTCCAAACCCAGGAGGAAGAACTAACCCACCTTCCAGCTCAATGGTTTTCTAACAGCACCCTCCTCCTCCTCAGCCAGCCTCCCGTGGTGACCTTTTGCCCTTCCTTGCCTCTGAAGCGTCCAAACTCATCTCCTCAGCTTTAGTACATGTTGCTAGCTGCATGTCAAGATGCCTCGCACTAGGAACATCTAAAATCAAACTTACTTTTTCTCACTCTCACTCCACCTTCTCAACTTCTTAGTCAGTCTCCCTCTCTTCACTCCTTCCCTCTTTCCTTTCTTTCCAAATGGCAGCCACATGTGAAGGAGAGCAAACATTCAAACTGCTAAGTTAGAAATCTGGTCATCACCCTGAGGACCACCCCCAACCTAACTCCCCACTTCCAAGCACACCTTCTAAATCTCTGGCTGTCCTTCCAGTTGTCTGTCCCTGTGACCATCAGCCTACTCCAGTCACTACTGTCTCTTATCAAGGACCCTGCAACAGTCCCTTTTCTGCTGCCAGCAATCCCTGAAGTAGCCAGGTAGTCACATCAGTGATCCTATTTAATGGCCTTTTCTGGCCTTCCTTCAGAGCTCCTGCTGGCCACAGCTACTAGGCCTCTTCCTAACTTTCCCACTTCTCGGTCTCTAGTTTCAGAGCTTGCTGGTCCATCCTAGAGTTGTGTTCTTCAATCATACTGACCCTGAGTTTCTTGGATCAGAAACTTGAATACCTTCCTCACAAGCTGCTCTTTCTCTATGAACACTGCCTCCATCTCCACCAACTCCTACCTTCTCATTTAATTCAACAGCTCCCTAAGGAAGCCTTTCCCACCATTGAGTCAGGTCTCTTCTGAACTGTCAAAGCACCCTGCACCTCAATTATCACAGAAAAAACCATTACACTTTATTGTATGTCTGTAACCCCATTTCCAGGGACTGTAATTTCTCTAAGGATGAGGGAAGTTCTACAAGTATTCTTTGGACCTAGTACAGTTGGCAAATTATAGTCGGTTAATAAGTACTAGTTGTACTAAGGATGAAGGAAGGAAGGAAGGAAGCCAGAAATGCTACTGCAATCTGATAACAATAGGGCAGGGATAAAAACATTCATAACCTGAGGCTAATGAACAAGCAATTAGAAATGGGAAGTTACTATTTGAAGTAATTAACACTAAGGTGTCATCAGAGCTTAATCCTACCGGAGACCAGTAGTTTTCCAAATTGCTAACTGGCTTGACAAAGGCAATTAGAAGTACACCCCATGATAGCACAGCGAAAAGAGAAAAAATCTTGGAAGACAAACAGATCTGGCTAGAATTTGTGCCCATCACTACTGGCTGTAACCCTGGATATGTCACTTTGCTTCTTTGGGTCTCGGTTCTGGAAGACGGGGATGACACCATCCTCACTGAGTTGCTATGGTGAGTAAAGGGGCCTAACGGTCAGCATGTGCCCCACTTTCAATAAGTGCTCGTTCCTGTCCACCTCCTACTTCCCTTTTCCTAATCAATAGTTTTGACACAGCAAATCTCCATTGTGTAGCATGTGCTGGAGGGTCCCCAGGGCAGGACACCTTGTGTGACCACTACTGCAGCAGCTTCTCTTAGGGTTTTTCATGGGATTCTTACTGAAGACCAAAAGTGCCTTGTGATGGCAAACAGGCCCACACCCCAGCATATGAAAAGGACATGGGCTTGACCTCTGAATCTGCCCCAGTCTAGGGCTGCAGCCCTAGTCACAAGAACAAAACCACTAACATGAGATCCTACAGCACCACTTAACACCTTGCCCAGATGGAACAGTACAGTGCTTACACTCTTCACCTCTAACACAGTGTGACTGGTTAGCCTCTACCCCACCTCAACCCAAGAGCTTCACGAAGAAAAGAGGTGGCTGCTTGGTGACAGCTAGTGGACAAGCACTCTGACTTCCTGTACTTGCACAGGAAGGAGCTCTGACCCAAGCCCAGCCTACCTGCCAGCACTCGCTGGCTGGCTGAGGAAGTTTAAGCAAACATCACCGCTCACTACAGAAGCAAAGGACAGGAAGACAGAAGATAATGGGCCTTTCTACACCTCAGGTCAGAGAAGAAAACCAAATTCATTCCTCTATGACAATGGACTGTAGATCTATAAACGGAAAACTTGACACACACACATACCTCTCACCTGCTGCACAGACCCAGTGTCCTCTCCTCCGCTGTCCTTGTTGTCAATGGCCCTACAACTGTGGAAGAAAGTGCCTAATCCAACCGGTTATACCTCTTCTTGAGGGTGACAGGATTGAGGCTGTGCTTTTTTATTTACTTACTGTTATTATTTTATTTTTGTGGTGCTGGGGATTAACCCAGGGCCCTGAACAGGCTAGGTAAGTGCTCTACCACTGAGCTACATCCCCAGCCCTTAGGTTTAAGCCTTTAGCAGGCTAAGAAATCCACAACATGCCCTGGCATGAGACTGTGTGGCTAAAATGACCACCTGCTGTTAAACATAAAACAAAACCAAGCAGGTACCCACTGGCAAAACCCAGTAACACCCTACTTCACTCTTCCGTTTGGAAGTGAGGTGGAAGGAAATGGAAGGAAGGGCATCTCTGGGGTTTGATTTGTTTTAATTTTAATTTCTTTCTTTTCAGCTTTTTGTGGTGCTGGGGATCAAACTCAGGGCCTTGCACATGCCAGACAAGCCACTATGCCATGATCTATATCTCCAGCTCTCTGTTTTATTTTTAAAATCAAGTTCTTCACTCTATTGCATCCTCCTTTACAGATTACAAAGACATTAACTTTCTTATTATCTCCAGGCAGATTTGAGCGAGAGACACAGACACACACACCAGAAACATCAATCCCTTGGGAATTAGGCAATTGGCCTGGGGGCACGTAAACAATTTCTCTGGCTGCCTGGTAACTGAATCACATTCCTTGCTCTGAGTCCTCACCAAACCGCTTCTTCACGTAGAATATCCAAAGCAGGGGGAGCACTAGAGCTCAAGAAAATAACACCTGAGTTTTTCATATATGAGGTCCAAATTATCCCTTAATCTTACTTACCTTAAAAGCTGAGATTCTTGGGTCCAGTGTTACCCAGGACTATTGGGAAAGCATTATGATTAAGGTAGTAAGGAAAAAAACCCCAAAATCAAAAAACACCAGGACTGTGAGTGAAGAGGCCAGGTGATGACTGCAGGCTAAGGTAATCCAAGCCCTGGGATCCAAAATGAACTATCTGGTCTAAACAGAATCCCATGCTCTTGCACTCCAATTACCAGATATTCATCCCGACTTCTACATAGACATCCCTCCATTCTCCACATACACTTTCTCAAGAAAGGTAATTCTATTACAAATTCCTTTCTTCCTCTTTGCTTTTAAAGCAATAAATGTAGGGGTAATCCGGTCTTTTGCAGGAATGCATCTTGTCCTTGACAGGGAAAAGATTAAAGTGGAGATAACTATCAGCCCCATTAGAGAGGAGAGAAGTAATTATTCCTTCCCCAACCCAGCTGTGTGACCTTTGTTTCACTCTTACAATTCCCATATACAATCTCAAAGCATCTTCAGTTCCCCTCCTACATTCCTCAGATGCAATCTCAAAGCATCTTCAATTCCTTGAGGAGTTAAAAGCAGCCTGACTTGGGTGACCATGAGTTGGGCACATATAGTCCTCCTCCTTTCCCTGGAATCACAAGATTAAATTCTGAAGGAAACCTGCAAAATGTCTTCTTTTTGAGGTTCTTAGAAAGAGAAAACCCAGAAAGCCCATCTTAGAAACCTTTACACAAAGTAGCCCTTTGTGTAATGTATCTAACATTATATGTTATTACTAAGTATTCACTATGCTGCACAATTGTAGAAGGAATGGCCAAAGGAGGTGTTTTAGATTTAAATTATAATGAAATGCCACTTACTAATCTAGTCACAAATATCTGAGAAGGTGTATATCAAATACTGATAACAGCTGCATAAGAATCAGACACTCATAATCTTACTTCCATTCCGGGATAAAAGGGCTGAGAGAGGAGTATTCTGTTCAGGAACACTGGCATCCCAGGCAGAGAGGATCTGCGTGTAAACACGGTCCCCAACCTCACCCCTCCCCACAGCCCAGCCCCCACCCGGGCCACATACACCAGGCCTGGACTGGAAGCCCCAGAAGTCTCGCCTCATTTTCAGTGCTGCTGAAAACTCACTTCCTTATGGCTGGGTTCTTTGATTGCTCTCACTGTGTAAACATTTCTGAACACGCTGCGTACCAGACACGTTCACGCACTTCTGCACAGGTTTCTGAACCTTGCCCCCGCAATTTTAAGGGGCGTCTCTGATCTCCTTGTACCCAGTAGTGATCAGAGCCTCATTTAGAAGAACCCTGTGCCACTTGACCATGGCCAGAAAGATCACCATAGATATCTACTGGCACAGTACTTTCAATAATTTGGTATCCTGACCAAACTGTGGCCCGAGGGTAGGCATTTCTGGATGGAAAGCCAACAGAACCTAAAAGAAGGACTCCAGTAAGCCTGGCCCCAGAAGTCGGCTCAGGGAAGGGGTGAGTGGACAGGCTGAAGCCTGGGAGGCCGGGAAGCTGCAGGGAAAGGCGGGAGAAACAGACTGTGGGGTCGGGGTTGGGCAAGAGCCACAGGAGGTGTCTCGGGAGACCTGGGGGCTGTCCCAAGGCAGGGCTTTGGGGGCCAGGGAGCCAGGCGCGGCAGGCGCGACTCACCCGAGAGGTTGGGCCGGGGCCAGGAGCCGGAACCGAAGAGCAGGTTGCGGTAGCGCTGGAAAGCCTCGTCGAGGACTACGCAGCCGGGCTGCGCAGCCGAACTGACATGGTACCGGAACTGGAAGTTGTTGGGGTACAGGGTGTAGCGCCGGTGGTAGCTCTGGATGTATTGGGGCCAGGGCCACAGAGCCGTCGCGAGGCCCGCGAACGCCGCCGCCAGCAGCAGCGAGAACCAAAGCTCGGAGGCCGCCATGGCCGGCCCGAGCCTTCTCTCTCAGCGGCCCGGGCCACGTGAAAGCCGGGTCAGGTGAGCGGCGGGTCACGTGGCCCGCGCCTGCGCGGTGGGGCGGGGCCGACCCCGGGGTCCTGCGGCGCGCCGCCTCTGTGGGCGGGATCAGACTTGGCCCCGCCCCGCAAAGGCGGATCTCTGTGATGACTGACAGGTCCGGGAGTAGGCGGATCTCCGTGGTGATTGACAGAGCCAGGGAGCGGGGCGGCGGGAGGGAAAGGACGCTGGCTGCGTGGCTTCAAGGGCCGCCCAAGGCCAAGGAACTCCAGTAGCAGAAAGACGAGGATGCGGAAAGATGAGGATTCAAGTTATGCGTGGTCGTCGTGTAAAATGCTGTGTGGCCAGAAGGGGCTGCACGTGGTAGTCTGAGCTGCTCTGGCAGAGTGGGGGGGATCTCGAGATCACAGCCATGGGATCTATTTAAGATAGGAAAAACAGATGCACAGTCACGCTGCCTCGTGGTTGATGATAACTATCCCGGTGATCTGTTCCCCATCCCATCCCATCCCTGAGCATAAGACTCCACAGTCCAAACATGGATAGGACTTCGGGTGCAGGGTGGAGGGGTGCCCTGAAATAATGACAGGGGCCTGGTCCTGCAGGGGCTCGCATGGAAAGCAGGACTTTCTTCTGAAAGCCATTCCAAAGATCTGCGTTTTAGACTTATTGGAGTTGGGAGATAACAAGAGCCTGAACTACAACAGTGCCAAAGGAAGTGAGTTCCAGGTCCTTGCAATAGTCTTCAAGAGAAAGAATTGAGGAGGGGTCAGTGGAAATTCCAGAGGCCTTGTCTTCCTTACCACTATATTATAGCATAGTTGAATCCTGACTGCCAGAGGAAATAAAAATGGTGCTATGATTTGGCTAGTGGGCATTTTTAATTGCAAAATTGTATTTTAGTATTAAAATAAGTGTGAAGATCAGGAAAATGAATTTTTAAAAAATAAAGTGCTTTTTAAAAATCTTAATATTATTTGTATTTAGGTTTATGTACCTAACTTAGTAGTTGTGAATGCATCACTCTGATGGGAAATCAGATAAAAAAACATCAACTCTGACTTGTAAGAATTTGTTGAGAAATTTCTCTCTCATGGCTAGGGCTGTAGCTCAGTGATAGCATGCTTGCCTAGCCTGGGTGAGGTCCTGGGTATGATCCCTGCACTGGGGAAAAAAGAAATTTCTCTTGGAAGGTTGGTTATGGTAAAAGAGAGCTTGCTGTTAAAAGAAGCAGAAATTAGATCTCATAATCACAGTTTCAGACCCTAAGGTTTACATTCTTTTGGTTGGTAACTGGGATTTGAACTTGGGATCTCATACTCACTAGGCAGTAAACGCCACCAACCCAAAAGGCTTACATTCTTATAAGTGTCTGGGTATTCACTCCACCAGTCAGGAGTGACTTACTCAAGGTAACCAGATAGATAATCCGGGGTTAGTGACAAAGGGCCATGTTCCTACTCGGGCCCACAAGATCAGTAGTTGAGGAGAACTTGGGCAAGCTCAAAGGTGAGAGTATTGGAACATGGTAGGTTTACAGGACTGAGTGTTCCAAGGCACTCTGATGCACCACACTCAACCTGCACCAGGGGAAAGGGGTCACTCAAAAGAATCACCCAAGATGTAGGAGCCGGACTCAGATGAAGAGATCATGAAAACTGTTAATAAAAGCACTCAAGTTTTGAAACAATATTCCAAACGTATTTCAACTATCCTCCAAAGCCAGTGTATCAGACAATCAGAAAGTTAATGACTATAATAGGTTTTTTTAACAAATAAATCCAAATAAATGTTCCAAACCTAGCATAGAGATAGTAGCAGCAATTTAAGTGAGTTAATTATAGTATACATATTCAATGGAGTGTTATTCAGCCATAAAGAAGAATGAAATTGTGTTGTTTGCAGGAAATGGATGGAACTAGAGAACATTATGTTAAGTGAATTTAATCCAGGCTCAGAAAGACAAATATTTCCAGCTTCTCTCACATATGTGGAATCTTGTCCTTAAAAATGGATGACAGGAATGTAAAACAGGTTCCATTTGAGGTTGGATACTGTTGGGAGGGGAGGAGGCAAAAGGAGAGGGTAAGGGGCTGGGAGTGAATATGGTTGAAGTACTTTATATACATGTATGAAAATAGAACAATGAAACCTGTTGAAATTGATTTAGGAAGGGGGAGGGGATGACAAGCGATCGGGGTGAAAATGTACAGCAATATCACAATGAGACCTCTTTGTACAATTAGTATATGCTTGTAAAAATGTAAAACAACTGTAAATTCTTTAAATTACTATATGTACAATGTTGCCATTAATTTTGATCGTAGAATAATAATGACTCTGATGATGTAATATTTTGTTCTATTCTCTATTTTTCCTTTATTAAAGGCAGCTTGCTAAATAAATAGAACGTGACTTAATTTTATTATCTATAGCTCATAATAAAATTAACATATAGGTATCAGAGATGGAATTTACTGTCAGATTTCTGCCTCATAAAATAGAATCATCACTGTAGGAGCAGAGAACAGGGAATGACCAATTTTGCCTGGGGAAGTGACCTTCGGCTGGCTCCTAAAGCAGGAGTTAGCAAGGCAGGAAAAGGGAGCATGAACAGGCATGAAGCGTGAAGGAAGATGGTATGTTGAACAGAGCTTTTGTGGAAATGGCAAAAGAAGACATTTCACACTTGCCTTGCTTCCTGGCCTCAACCAAGTTGCTTTTCCCTCAAATCCTCCCCACCTCCTACTCCCACCACCTACTTGAAGGTCTAAACTTAGTTTTACCACCCCAGAAGTCTCTGACTTCTCAAACCTGGGTAAGATCCCCTCTTGGAGCCCATAACTCCCTGCACTAGAGGACTTATCTCCTACTACTGTAATTACCTGTCCATTTGTCTGTCTTCACTACTAGAATAAAACCTCCTTCAGCTCACCTTCTGTGTCCGTTGCCGTATTCCTAACCGTTGGCATAGCATCTAGCACAGAGTGCATGCTCAATAAGGACTGGAGTTTGAACTCAGGCCCTCATGTTTGCAAAGCAGGTGCTCTACCGCTTAAGCCAGGCCTCCAGTCCATTTTACTCTGGTTATTTTGGAGATGGGGGTCTTGAGAACTATTTGCCTGGGCTGGCCTCAAACCTTGGTCCTTCTGGGCTGGTAGAGTGGCTTAAATACCTAACAACCCTGAGGCCCTGAGTTCAAACCCCAGTACCACAAACAAACAAGAAACAAATTCAATCTTGATTCTCCTGATCTCAATCTCCTGAGTAGCTTGGATTACAGCATAAGCCACCATCACCCAGCTTCAATAAGTACTTGTTAGGGCCTGGAGATGTAGCTCAGTGTAGAGCACTTGCTTAAAGTGTGCAAGGAACCTGGGTTCCATCCCTAGCACCTCCAAATAAATAAATAAATAAATACCTGTGAAATGAAAGACAGAAGCCCCCTGAATATCTCTCCCTCTTTTATTTTTATTTTTTACATTTAAAAATGTATTTGAGTCTCAAGCTTTAATTTGTATAATAAATTATTGTTTTAAAAATTCCAAGTTATGAGTGCAGTCTGTAGTTCACTATACATATGCTGTGAATAATTATCAAATCATTTACATTTCTAATTGTAAACATGTACAGATAAAATCAGGATACTCAGTATTTCCATATATCTGGCATTACTTTATGTTTGGGAGATGTCACACTTCTCTCTTTTAGTTATTCTAAAATATATGATAATATTACTGAGAAGTGGGTTCACCCCCAGTGTAGAGCACTATGAATTATTCCTTCTGAATAATTGTGTTTGGGTCCTCATTATCCAGCCTCCCATAATCCCTCTTCCACCACTGCTGGATAATTTTTAGCTCCCACGTACAAGTCATCTGGGAATGCACACACGAACCAGTATGTGTCCTGTCCTGTCTAGACTGGGCTAATGCCCAACAATCCCAAAGAGGGCTGCTGGTGCTGATCCCAGAGCAAAGGCTGGAGATGTCCAAGGGCAGCAGCACGAGAGAACAGGACCTGCTCCAGAAGGAAGAAACACAGACAGTTTCCCCTTTCTTTGGGGGTCCTGTTCCATCTGGCCTCCCAGACAACTGGATGGTGCTGCCCACGAACTGGTGAGTTTCCTCACTCCGCTCACTGGCCCCCCTGACAGACAGTCTTCTCAGGGAGTGCCCTCCCAGACACCCCCAGAAATTATGATTTACTAGTGTGCTATGCATTCCACAAGTCACTCAAATTGACACCCCAAATTTACCATCCACTTGTCCAAGTCAGAGTCACAAAGCAGGGACACACACTCCTGTCACGTGAGGTGCTAACTGGGCACAAAATAGTGGATAGACAGTACACACACTCCCCCTCACCAATCTTCTTAGCGTATAGCTCTTAACTTCTTAAATGTTCTCAACATTTTCACTGTTTCAATGCTTAGGAGGTGTTCCATCCTCTCTAGTGCTCCTGTGCGTAGTCACAGCAGCACAGATGACACTGCACAGCCACCAGAAGTTGTTGGGGGCCTCTTCTCCTTTTTATCATCTACTTATTTTTAGGTCTCAGCCTAGAACAGACCAACAAGTATGGTGCGAATGAAGTCCAGGTGCAGACAGTGGTTCCCTCGATTCTTTGGGGAGTGGGGTCTAGGCATCCCAGCCAGGTACTTCCAGGGAAGACTAATCATTTTCCATGCATGCTGCGATGTGAGGTTTGCAGTGTGTCACCTCCTCTCCGGTGCTTTCACACAGCACCCTCATTTTAGCCTCTTTGCCTGTCCAGCCGCCTCAGACCATAGGCTGCGCGAGACCATGGGACCTCACTACCTAAGCCAGCACTCTGCGTGCAGGAAGCGTTCAGCAAGTGTCTGCTGAATGAATGCATGAACAAGGAAGCATTTGTGTGAAATTTCGAAAGGCAGTAAGAATTTCAATGTGTAGCAGAAATGAGCAGTACAGGGAGAAGCACTACAATCTGGAAGGAAAACTGTCTGTCTGTCTGGTTCACGTCAGGATT